GTGTGTGTGTGTGTGTGTGTGTGTGTGTGTGTGTGTGTGTGTATAACATATATAAAACACACTTTAAAATATAGTTATTAAAATATAATTATAAATATATCTATGTTTACATGAATTTCTCTCTATTCAAACTATATTACGAACATTTTGTAATTTTTATTGATTTCCTGCGTACAATAATCGACTTTTATTAATGAATCTCATGTGTGTTTTGTGCGTCGTTTTATGGAGCTTTATTTTTCGAATTTTATACATTTAGAAGAATTGACAAACTGATTAACGTGGACCCTCGACCAACCATTGACCGCCAGTCATGGATTTTGCGAGAAAGTTTGATTATATTTTAAAAACAAAACAGTCAACGATATATCTCCTCATTCGTATTATTATATAGAGCTCGCGTTTATTATATACTATAGAGGTGAGAATCATGTTGCGCTTTAGATTTAAAAGGTCCACGCATAATCCTACGATTTACGTAGCAAAAGACTTGCGCGAATCCAAGCATTCGAGCTATACGTAAAATTAAATATTAGAGAAATATCACGCGAAATTTATGTAGATCGATAGATCGTGCGTGGGCCGTTTCACATTCAAATGAAAGTTGCGTTAATATATATAATATATACATACCTTTATATTATAAATACATAAATTATATATATATATATATTAAGAGAAATGTGTGGCGACACACGGTTGTTAGATTATCACGTGGCGATGCTCCGATCTGCTGACGATCGAAGCCGTCAATACGATTCGATATTTGACTACGTCAAATACGTACTGAATGTTTGAATAATTCGAATATCTCGAATGTCCATCCGCGTAATTCGTTGTTATCTGTTAGAATTTTTTGGTAAGCCGAATTACTCATAATATGTCATCGTATAAAGCGATGTGATATGAAAGACCTCGTTTTTATCGCGTATCACATTAATGCCATAAAGCCTATCGTCTTCTACTCTAAGATTCCTCGAATTATTTACGAATGTCGAGATATTCTAATATTCGGATATTCAATTCGTGTAGTCTTAAAAATACTCGTCTGTTTACACACACACACACACACACACACACACACACACACACACACACACCCACACACATACGAGAGAGAAATTAAAGGAAAAAAAAAAAGTGTTTGACCGTTGCGCGGGAATGTCTACCTTTTCGCGCTATCGTTTGTGTCGTTGTCTCCTTTTCATTGCGGTCTAATCGTGTACAGATTTAATGTAGAAATTTAATAGACCTATCGCGAACAACTGCCGAAACGGTTGATGAGCGCGAAAAAAATAAAACTAGCGTAGAGAGCAGATCGCGGCTGATTTTCGGCTACGAGTTGCCTCGCTAACGCTTGCGGACGAGCGTATTGTATGATAATATCATAGTAGATTGCGACTTTCGTCCCTTTGTAATTAACGATGTTCATCGTATTTATTTCCTCGTGTAGCATATGCATGAGTGTCGTCCCGCGTGGTTTTTGACCATTGTGACTTCGAAGTCAAATGTTAACGAGCGTATATTGGTCTTGATCTCCAGCTACGATTAGCTAGTATATTTACTCTTTTTCCTGACAGCGAGTTTCATAGGATTTTTCGTTCTAGTTATGCACGTGGCACATCGTTCGAATACACGTATTTTTTTTTTACACACACACATATATATATATATATAACGAATTCGCCATTCGATTTAATATTTATGGAGTTCCGAACCTCGGGAAGCTTTCACGGAAGTTTAAGAAACCGCAGTTTCTACATTCAATCTTTACGCGAGAAATCTTTAGTCCCGTAGCATGCGTTCGTTTTCGTCCTTCTTTATCTCTTCCGAGTATCTTACCGCTCTAGCCGATTCCTTACGCAGAATAAATCGTGCTAGCATCCTTTCCTGGATCACTGATTTATTTTGTATCATTTAGCTTTGTATGTACACATGTACGTTTATAAGACATTATTGATTTATATCATAAAATAATATATATACATAAATATTATCTCTCATATAAAAATGTGCCTACTTTACCTGGCTCTTCTTTCCGTCATTGTTTTTACAATTTTCTCCGTTTTAACTTCAATCAGACCCATTTCTACCAAAATATATGTATTTGCATAGAAATCCGCAGATTAATTATGAAAATTACAATGAATCAACATTCAGCGTAAGAATTTGTATGATTAATGTCAATTTCTATCAATGCAGATTAACCTCGATTTAATTTAATCCTTATCTTTTTTAATTCTTAAACCTAGGAGATAAAAAGTAAGTATTACATTGATAGTTTGCATCGAATATTGATTTAGTGTAATCTTCATAATTAGTTTACGAATTTCTATGCAAATATGTATATTTTTAAAAGATAGGAATATAAAACCAGAATAGGATTTTTTTGTTAGAAAATAAAGATCAAAGACTAACTGGATCACAATTGGAACTAAGATTATGAAGGAACCTAAAATTATGCACAAAAATATTATTAGGGTGATAAAAAAGTTTAGTCACAAAGTTTTGTGTTTATCAAATTATTTACAATATTAAAATTACTTATATATTTATAAAACACTATATTTACAAAACACTGGATTATATCTCAATAAACGCAAAAAATAAACCCTCAGGATAGTCACTTTTATCTTTAATGTAAGCTGTAAAGTGTTTCGAAAACATAACAATGACCACGCATCTTTCCACGGATAAATTCTTCCAGGCAATCAATAGAGTGACTTTCAATAATCAATAAAAATCTTAGTACAGAGTTTATTGGTATATTAGAGGTAACTCTCACTTCAAAGTTTGTTTTTTAAATGCACGTTATTAACATGGATATTGATTCGATAAACACACAAAACTTTGTCACACAAACTTCTTTCGTGATTTTGTAGCTTTTGACAATTATCTAGTGTAAAAAAATCTTTTTATGATAAAGTTTTGAAATGGTACGGTAAATGAAGTAACGACGTTGTTTAAATAGCATTTAGCTAAAGTATATTTACAATAACTCTTAAAAATGCATTTTACTAAAATAAATCAACGGTACCGTTTGAGGCATGCATTTTTTATAGCGCTATAATTCGCCACTAGCAAATCTGTCTGATCGACGTATTCTAGCATTTAATTGTTAATCATGCATTCGTTTGACAATAAGATTCGCAAATATGTGAAACACATTGAACACGTCATGATTCTAGAGATATATTGCCGCATATTGAACACAAAATATTTTGTCAGTAATGAATTTTATCGATATCAAAGTAATATTAATATACTTTGCAGTCTTATTTTGCGTATGAAATATTCACGTCCCAGTAAACGAGAATGGATTGAATTCAGATTTTCAGAAATACACGTTCGCGAACGTTAAAATAAATCCTTTTCAATCTGAATGCGTTTTATTCATTTATAGGAATTGCATGGAGCACATTTCTACGGCTTTCAATATAAAAATAATAACTGTTTCTGTGCAACATGTATACTGCTCAAAATAATGAATAAAAGATGCAGTTTTTTTCAATGCAATTGACTCCAGTTGAAAGTTGTATGCAAGAAAGTGATCTCAATTCAGAGTTTCTGCTAAAACTAGAATACACGTGCATTTCGTTATATAAAATATTCGTGTAATAAAATGTTTAATTTAATTATATTTTACTTTCAATTTAAATTCATATCAATTAAATAAAGAAGAAAGAAATGAAAAGGATTAGAAATACTATAGTGAATGTTATTCGTTTTTCTTTCATCAACAATATATTTAAGAAATTGAAGAACACGTACGTGCCAGTTGCTTGAAGAGGATAATCAAAGTATGCTTAGCAAAGCAGCTTACATTGTAAATTGGTGTTCACAGAGATCTATTTTCGTATACGGAATAATGTATAAGTAATGCTGAAAGTTGTAGATGATCGTATTTCACAATGCAGACGTCTATTATATTTTACAGTGCCTCGTGATATTTATATCTTCGGATCGTTCGCGTATACGTGATTCAAAAAGTTCTTCATCAAATATGGATTAGAAGATTGAATTCGTAATCACATAAGTAAGAGATCAGATTATTTTCAGACGAAATAATATTGAAGGACCATATCGTCTTAGCGTCCAGCAATATCGATCATACTAATTTCAAATAAACCTAAAAAAATTTGTCAATTTTACGTAGATTTGAGCATATTGATTAATTACACAAGTGCACGTGCGCTTGTCATCAGTCGTAACGATAATAATCTAAATCAGTTCCTTACAAAAATCTAATACTAATCAGTAGAGAGTATTAAAAATAAATACTTTAAAAAGAATTTTTATTAAATGATAGCAATTAATTATTTATGAAGTATAATGAATAATGATGCTTTTAATATTTAAAATAAATAATTACTGTTTTACAGTATTTAAGAATTCGACAGTTTATTAAATTTCTGTAAGGGATGTAGACGCAATGATAATAACCGAAAACACAAAAATAAAGAGCGTAAATTTTATAGAACTATGTTTCACGCTCGGACGCTTGGATGAAAAATTTCTGACTATTTTATAAATTGAAATCTACGAACGGTGAATCTACGAACAACAAGTTACTGACATATGCATTTGTAATACGACTTGCAATACTGATCTAAATATTAAAAATGTAACAGTCTATTCATATTAAGGAGAAGGATTTATTTTTTATGCTATATACTTGGCGGGGTGTCAGGAAGTATTTTCCATTTCTTTATTGTGTCGCCTGTTGTAATCTACGGGAACAATCGGAATGTCTAATCGACAAATATTAGATGAATATTCACTTTGGGAAAATATTCCTACATATTTTTAAACTCTTACTAAAGTCGTTCGCTGTTCCGTAAAAGAAATTAATTCTCTTAAGCACTAATTGACTAGTATTAAAAGATCGATCAATGTCGAACGTATATTATTCTTCTAATCTTATTACGGGTCTGTACGAATTTCTACACTATCCATTTATTTTCTCAGGTAAATTAATAATAATCAAACTTCAAGAATTCTGCATCACAATCGAAAAAAAGAACTTTATACCTTCTTTTTCGTCATGGATAGGAATATGTCAGATCATCTTAGAAGATTAATGCTGGGACGATGATTGGAGCCTCTGTAGAAGTTCCGATCCAACTGTCGCTTTGTCGCTCAGGATGGCCTCCACATCTTTCTCAAGTACCTGCTCCCTATTATACAGCTGGAACCGGTAAGCGGGCTCGTTCACCAGCACGCTTTCCTCGGCGGTGCTCTGCGCGTCCTCCGGGGCGAGGAAGAACCTCGCGCGACCTTCGCACTTCCGTCGGTAGTCCGGATTGTCCGGTGCTGGACGGTGGCAGGAGTCGCAGACGGTGTCGGTGCGCGATGTGCACGGATGAGCCTCGTACAAACCCGGGCCACATCTGGCGCAATTCCAGCAGGGCTGCGTGCTGTGATGCGGGCTGTACGTACCGCTGGGGCACCGCTCGCATACGGTGTCGCGGCCGCGAGCGCAACGGCTAATCGCGCCCCAGCCTGGACCGCATCTGCTGCAATGCGAGCCATCCCGGTGGTGCCTGATGTGAGGCCTGCTCTCAACCGCCTGGAAACAGAAACGGCAGATGGTTAGTGCCCCACGAAAGGTGAAATTCGTTGGACGGCGTGCGAGCGGCTCTGTGTCCCGATTTTTTTTAATCGAAAGGATTTAAAAATTGACCGTATCGATCCGACCACTTGACCCAGAATGTCATTTCTGGATAATTAAAGAGTCTAAAATTGTATTTCTGCATACGTTCCTTCAGGCAGTGCAAAGCTATTTTCTCAAGAGACATTGTTTTCTAAAGGCTCCACGTCGCGATCTTTTAGAATCGGATCTTCGAAAGGTTTTAAAAATTGACGGTACAGTCAATCCGATCACTTGGCACCGAATGACATTTGTAAATAATTGAAGAGTCTTTGTAAAACTGTATTTCTCTCTCTCTCTCTCTCTCTCTCTCTCTCTCTGCCTCTCTCTCTCTGCATGTGTTCCTTCAGGCGGTTTCAAAGCTGTTTTCTAACGAGGCTATTTTCTAAAGACTCCACGTTACAATTTTTTGGAATCTTCGACAGACAGTTTTAAAAACTATTACACGATCGATCCACGAGTTGGCTCCAAATGATGTTTGAGTTGGCTAATTAAAGAAAACTCGTGAATAATTAAATTGTTTAAAACTGCGGTATAAAGTTGTTTTCTAAAAAGGACTTGTGAGCAGAGCAAATAGATCGTACTAGAACTAGAATAGTCGGTTTATTATTATTGATGGATATTACTTTTCTACTACTCTTAATATGAATTGATAAAATGCAATTTCAACCGCTCAACAACAGGTGCACTGGAGAAGGCGGCCACCTGACTTCGAGGGAACACCTTGCGCCTTTCTTCCGCCTACTTCGAGCAGATCGAGAGACGCGATATATGAGCCTCTATACTCTCTCACGCATAAAAATGTTGCTTTTAGTACGTTAGGATATCCGCTACACTTTCGCCGACTAATTTTCCCAAAATAAGTCAGTCTGATCGATTGCAGACTGACTGAATTGATGATCCATAACTTTCTCTCAGTTAAGATACTTTCCAAATATCAAGTGTAATATATCATTACAATATATTTAAATATATTAAATAAAGTAATAAAATAATTAAACATATTATTAACGAAAATATATTGGAAATGTGTCTTACTTATATCCCCGAGTGCCTTTTTCCATGCAGTAATTGCAACAATATTTTATATCATCTCAAGAGATCTCAGTCTAAATCTTGGATTCAATGAAATTAGAGTTAATGAAATTTTGACAATTGGCTTTTATATATTTCCCGAGAACACGTGCGATCGTAGTTAAATTTTTAACATCGTTTGTCTCACATAAAAGACTTTTGTCCACTGTAACTTCCCGAAAGGCGAACGTTATCGTTCGACCACAGAGGTTTGGCGACAGGTAACAAATAAAATAAGAACAAGAGGCGATTCTTTTCCACAGCAGCTGTTGGCAGCTGCTTCGTGCGGCACGCGCCGACGGTCACCACGCATCACGCGAATCGTTAGCACCGGGCCTTAATTTGAAACCCTTCATCTTACCTCTGCGCGCACACCATCATCGTCGCATGTTCACCACCGTACATTGTATCGAGCTTCTCACGGTATGGATTATTGAGAAAATAATATTAGTCTTTCCTAGAAAACAATTTCGTACTATCAACTCTTGTACAATGAACGAATGTGTGTAATAATACCTGTAATTTGTGGGAAGAATCAGAAGTCGTGAGATTGTATTGCCAAGAACGCTCTCTTAAAATTGTATTTTCTTTTACGCGAAATTGTAAATTCGTAAATTGATGTAAATTGGTATATAAGCGTATACGGTATTCATTATCAGAGAATAATTTTTAATTTCATTTTAAAGATATTGTATATTATCGTTGCTCTCACATTTACGTCACTTGGATTTATGTTTTTGCATAAAAATTAATTTTTTTGGAAAAAACTTTGCTTTTCATTGTACGTTGTTGATAACAGAAAATTGTTCCTGAGAGAAACAACATTTATTTTTTCGTAATTTACAATTGAACGCTCATAATTTGTTATCATAGAGGTAACTCATGTTACCTCATCAATTTAGGGATGCTCTTTACTAAACTAGTACAGAGTTACGACCCTTCAAAGTAAGTAACTACTACTTTATCAAGTATTCACAGTATAATAAACAGACAATAATAAACCGTGAAATATTAAATAAGTTTTAAATAAATTCCTCGACGAATTAACTTTCAGAAAAGAGGGAATACGAGAGTGAAAACAAATATAAATGAAATTTTGTTCTTCAGTTAACTTCGAAGTTTGGCGTAATAGAATTTTAATGGAAGATTGTATTGAAGGTGATGCCGAAGTGAGTTAAGAACTGAAGAGCTACAGTTGAGGTTTATAATTCCAACGGAGAGCGAGAGAATACTTCGTAAGAGCATCAACAAGCAAGAAACATCGATCTTCGGAGCTTCTCAGAATTGCTCCAAGTGGGAGAGACGTTGCATTCTTCGATGGAAATACCCTCGAGGATTTTGCAACAGTCAAGAAGACACGGCGGTTTTGCCTGGGCAAGATTTATCGATTGGAAAAAAGTTCATTTGTAGGAACCGCAGAACATTCTTGTACTCGGTACTACGAGTCGACGAATCGTCACTCGAAGCTTCGACGATGCAGAGAGCTGGCCAGAGAGAATGAGAGGCATCGCGTTGGAAGCAACCTTTGGTGATTTCCGATATTTCTTTTCGGCTCTCTGCCACTGCGAGAGCACGTTGCAAACCGATTATGCGCCGTGAAAAGGAAACACAGACCTTACGAGGAACTCGTGGTATGCCAATAAATGTCGGTACTAGACCACTCCGCGCAACTAGACACTTAGAAGAAATGTGTGTTGAACAGCTCGATATCATCTTGTAATGTGAAGTATTTTTTAAATATAACTTTCAGAGATATAAAGGTCTGTTCGCGTTGCCTGCACTTTTTTCATTCAGCATCTTCGCCTTCTCTCTCTTTTCAAAGATCAAATATACATTTATTTCATTTTAAATTTTTTGAGAATTTCAAGCAATGAGTGAACAGATCTATAGACTACTCGACTCGGGGCAAAAAGCCAGGCGGGGTCTGTTAACGATCCGTAACAACGATGACGGAAGTAAAGTTACGCTCATAGTGCGACGAGTATGAATAGAAACTTCCGGTATGACGAACAGAACGGAAGCGGTAATTGCTGGTCCCTTTGTATCCCGCTTCTATTTCCTTTCTTTTTTTCTAGTCGATACATCGATATCGATAAATTTCAAATGAATAGACTGCGCGATGGATGCACATACCACGTGACGTGAAACTTTGACGACGTTCATCCGACGTTCATCGGTCAGTTTCATTGTAATAAAAGGTTCTTTGCCGCTTCATTGAAACATTTTCTTTTTTTTTTTTTACGAAATCAACGATTTTCAAGAATTTAGCTGTAAACTGAAAAGCACAATAAGTAAAATAACTAAAAGCAATTATTAAAAAATTATTAATTAAAAAGTATAAGTGATTGAAGGCAATTAATTGACAAATCAAAGTCTCAATGTGCAAAAACGACTTTGCAAGTGAAGTTTCCATTGAGTTTATTCATTTCGTGACTGGTAGCAATTATCTTTTACTCTGTTACGTCTTCGCGACCACGAAGATAATTAACGATGAAAAAAGAAGGAAAGAATTTTGAGTATAATACACGCGTGCACGAGGGCGCTTTGAGGGTAGCTCTGAAAAGACTCGCGCATGTGAATAGGGTGACGAATTATTCCTACTCGATTCACCTGAAGGAACGTGGCCTACTTCCATTTGTCACCGGAAGAGGCGGATACCTTGCGCACGAGAAAAAAAAATTGCAGTAATTTCGAAGTCAAATGGAGACACGTTCCAAACGTTATTACAGGATAAGACGTTTCGTGCTCGTCGTCGATGCATGTACTTTACTATACGGATTGAATCTCTGCGATTTCTCAGTCTGCCAATACTGATTGAAACATATTTTAAACAAATTCGTCAAACTTGTATAAATACTTCCTACATTTACAAAATTGAGTAAAAAAAAAAATTGAGTGAACAAGAAATTTATTAATTAATTAAATTATTAATTAATTTGAAGAGATTATCGAATAATTTTAAATATAATATAATTAATACGAGAAATGTGTACTTTCTAGTTTTTTTCCTTGTCTCAGTTATATCATTAATATTTAAAGATATTCGATATTCCTTTTCATAGAGCCATCGAGACTCACAAGTCTACCTATCCTGTAATATTCTGGATTCTATATATTTATAATCTTCTATATATTCTATATATTCTATATATTTATAATCTTTTGATACTTTCAATATTTCCTTACGTTATATTTCCGCTTTCGAGCAAACCGCAAAGTCCCGATACTTTTAAGAGGAGGGCACCGCCAAAATTGCAACAGGCAGTACCTGCGGAGTCACGCCAGACTGGGTTCCCTCTGTCCTCTCTTTTTGTGTGTGTGTGTGTGTGTGTGTGTGTGTGTATTTGTGTGTGTACATGCGTGCGTGTGTACATGTGTTAGACTTCCGAGCACACCAGCCGGCTCTACTTCCCGGAGGAAGACGCTGGGTTACCCCGAGGGTGAACCCACAGTCGCAGCTGCCTCGAGAACCGCGATAATTATCTTCGGTCGCTACCCTATTGTTCCGTGAACACTCCGCCCTCCGCATATTCTATAAATCGGAGGAAGCTACCATGCACCTGGACACGAGGGAGAAAGGGAGATAAAAGCATATTCTTGTATCTGTTTTAACGTCACGAATAATTTGCATTAAGCGTTGTTAATTACAAAACGCTCACCTCGCGTTCGGAATAAAACTTGTTTTATTGAGAATGTTTTTCTGAGAAATTTGAAACGTCGCAAAAAAATAGAAATTTAAATAGAATGTTACGCAAAAAGCAAAGATTAATTATAGAATGCCAAAGATTAATTATAGAATAAAGACAATGTCATTGAGCGATGCAATATTGTTATATTATTATTATTATTATCGATATCGATATACGTAAATTTGACGTTCAAGAAGCCACGTGTCCAAATTAATAATGGACTAAATTTTTGAAAGCTTATCTTCGCTTTAGCACACGGTAAATTGAATCCTCTAATGACGTTGAAGGCATAGCTTAGCGCTCAATATGCATAAAATTTGCAATATCATTCTAGAGTTAATAAAAATCATGACTGCTTAGATTAATTCAACAACGTCCACATTAAGTATTGTTGTTACTCTATCGTAATATTTCTGCGATGCAAAGTTACGTAAATGATAATTAATAAAAAAAAATAAACTAGTCGATATAAAACATAAAAAGTCGAGAAGGATAAAACGTGAGAAAAACTCACGAGAACTAACGCTATTAATACGACTTTGAGATTGCGTTACAATCATTACAATTTTATGTTCGCCAGCGAACGAGTGCCTTTTGCATTTGTTCAGAGACATTTATAAGAGTAACCACGACAACAGCATCGCTCTAAGGAAACGCGTCCCTCAAGTTTTCTTACGATGCTAATGAGACTCGGTACCTTTTGAAGACCTCATCAGTCACACGCACAAGATATCTCTCAGCCGATTTTACGTGCTTGAAGAATCTCAAGGCACTATTCACCAAATGGATTCTTCCTTGCTGATAACTTACAGGACAAGTATGTGAAACTTCAACGAGTTCATGCCCTTCCTGTGCAATGCCGTGCTAACAATTGGACATTCATATCCCTTTCCCTTTCTTCAGACCTTTTTTCCCCCTGCCTTCTCTTTACATCTCGTTTCGCGACTCAACCTGTGTTAAATACGTTTATTTTTCTTCGAAGCTACGTGAGCGCGTTATGAAGTACCGTTTTATAAATAATAATGCCTTGTCACATCGCCACCATACCGAGACTAATTTATTGATATAGTGCGCGAATATTGAAATATTGCATACGGTATATTACATTAGCACAGAGAGTAATAACACCTTTTCTTTAAATACATCTGCGACAATAGTTCTGTATGTAACTCTCTCTCTCTAACTTGTCTCATTATACTTGTTTCATATTATTTGTGAACGTCATTTGTCGTCTATCATTCACTGAGTTTATATATATATTGTCCCTTTTTGTAATTAATTTTCTTTAATTTTTCTAAATTTTTGTTCTGTAATTATGTTTGCTGTAATTTATTTGTTCTTAGAGACCTTAGAACGATAATAAACGCCCTATCCCCCTCTTTCTATTTTTTTTTTCTGTCTCTCTTTCTCTCCATTTGAAGCACATTATTATAAATGTTCCCTGTGCCTATATATGGAGTCGTAGGAACGCAAAGGAATCAAGGGCTGAGTAAAGCATCGCGAAAATCGCGCCCCGAGCGGAACCGCCGTCTCCGGATTCCCATGCCATGTTAATGAGTCTCATAAAATATGGCATACCCCAGTGAACCGAATAACCCGCTGACGCAGTGCGTAACGTGTGAACGTAGCATATTCGAATACACACACACACACACA